CCTGGAAAAGGGATCGTTGCAGAGGCTTGACAGAAAAAGCCTATGAGACAACTCTTGGACAGAAACGCTGTGGACAGTAGCGTAGTGTAGTTAGCATAGTGTAGTTAGCATAGTGTAGTGCAGTGTAGTTAGTATGTAGTTTAGCGCCACACTTCACCCATTTCCCATTCCTGGGCAGTGAAGGGCTCACACAACAGAACTCGGGCCTGATTGTTATGGAAATTTGTCTCCTAGGACAGATCTGACCAAACTTTATCCCTGGGGTAGGGTGACCTCTTGAACACTAATAACGCATCCGTTTACAAATATACCTGGCATCTGTACCACACCCGTCAGAGCAACAGAAAATTCTGGTCCAAGCGCCCACAGCGCTCTTACCAGCCACATTCACATTACGTTAGGTGATGTCTGCGTTTAGAACGTCGAAATATCACTGGGACAACGTTTTAACAAGTCGGCGTCACGAAGATTTTTGAAGAATGCGCCTCTGGCGCGGCCAGCCAGGTGGTTGCAAGCCACGAGGGCGCGTTATTCGTATTCACAGTTCAAGGCAGCCAAAGCTACCATACATACAGGTAGGAGAGTTATACGACATCAATGTCTACCCGACCAACCGCAAATTGAGGAACGCGATCTTAGAACAGTAAGACCGCGTTCAGACTTCGCGATCGCGCATTGGGATCGCGCGATGGGATCGAGCGATCGTGACCTGAGGCGTTCCGACGCCAACCGCCGTAAAATTCGAAAGGGCGGCGTTCATGGACTGTGAACACATTCCTGCATTTCTGTACTTTCTTTTCGTTTCCGATTTTCTGATATCTTTCAGTGCATACACGCATTGAGTTTTCTTAACGTTTCGGAGCTTGAACGGTTCGCGAGCCCTTTTGAGAGTTGTGATTTTTCCTGCATTTCCTTTTCAATCGTATTTTTCCAGTCCTGAGTTTCACAATCGCTTTTGTGCGGCTTGTTATATAGGGAAGTTCATCGAGGTTACTGCGTGAGAGCTCCCTGATCACGATCGCTCGATTGGATCGCGTGATCGCAGTCGGAACGCGGTCTAGGCTGTATGCCGTAAGAGGTCAAACCAGCCAGCCAATCAATCTCTTTCTGGGATGTACCATGGATTTGTCTTCCCATCGCAGAGGTATTTGAATATGTTTAGCCTATAAAACAACCTGTAATGTCAGTTCGTGTGAACGCATGTTTTCTATGCTCCCTGACGAGCCTGCTCCTAAATGACGAGCTTCAGGACGGGAGAGCTATTTAAAGCGAACTAGACCCGATCTGTGATTCCCCGTATGTGCGCGCTCTGAGCGACGCCACTTTCCCTATGCCACCACAATCAAGCTCATGAGCTTATAGAAGACTGCTCGGCTTGGAAGGGGCATTTTGCATATCACTACTTTAAGTCTGCATTGAAACAAATATCGAAACGGAAAACAAAAATGACATTACCAATCTTCTCCTATATTGAATTTTGCGAAAACATGTTCATACTCCTCAGCACAATGTGGTGATATCCTTTCGAGGAAATCCACATATTCTTTCGAATGAAACCGCCTTAATAATATTCAGTAGCACTGAGCCAGAGGAGGAGGTCCTTTCACCCGAGAAAAAATAACAAACCTTATGTCAATGGCACTTGCTCTAGGGCTTAGCCGCATCTCCATCTTTTTGTCAAGTTCATAGTGTACTACAAGATTGTTCAAAGCGGCCAGGCGCTGTGGTTTCATGGGATGGCGTGGACCTGTGGAATAACAATAGAAACCAATTCGTTACATAAAGCATGGATGTGGGGATGGGAGGGACATTTTGCTCCGCCCTCCCCACTTTCGCTACTTCCCAACGTCGTGTCGAGCACGAATCAGAGATTTGCGAGATATCGTGAAGCTACGAACTGGTACGAGTCATAGTCTGTAAGACGCCAACGTCTGTCGAGCAACGAGCTCGACAATGGGAAGTAGCGAAAGTGCCAAATGCCCTCTCCTCCCCCTCAAAGCCGAACTTCGCTAAAGCAGGACCTTCAAAACTCACCATAATGAAAATTCCCAACTTCTGGATGATAGTAGTAGACGACACTTTTGTCTTTTGACATATAAATCTATACCAGAACAATAAGACTGTGTTCATACTTCGCGTTAACTTTTCGAGCGTACGTCAGTTTTTGAGCGACTAGGAAAGTATAGGTATCGATTCAGCAATTTGAGGGTAGTTTTGAACGATTCGCGGGCAGTCGCTCAAAACGTTGGTGTTCGCTCGAACCGGCGATCGATACCTATTTTTTCTTAGACGCCCAAAATGTTGCCGTACGGCCTAAACGCTGACGCAAAGTGTGAGCGACTACTCTCCACACTTAGTCCACTCTCAGAAAGATATACTCTTTAGTGAAATAGCACTAGTTCCCAAAAAAATAATACATTCAGATATGAAAACGAAATTTATTGTCGTGACTTAAGTACACAACAAACGAGACAAAAGAAAATTGGCATGGTCCCTAGACACGTTGCAGAATAAATAATGAATCCAGTTTGCGACTGAACACACACGACTTGTTTGCGTACCCATGAAATTTGTTTATCAAAAATCAACACTAAAGAGGAATTAAAAGCACCAAAGCAGTGCTCCTCTTCTGAACAAGTCATGAGCAGACGTAAATAAGTCGTACATATAAGGCAGCGTACATACTTCGCAATGACGCGCGTCCCGCGCTCCAGCTGCAATAGCGCTCCAATCTCACAAAAGCGTAGTCGCAAGCTGGAATCAATTGGCGTCAGCCGCTTATGTATTGAGAGAGCGTGGGAAAATAGTATGGTACGCGTTGCCAGTCCGGTATCGATCGGTACTGGCCGCTAGGGCACTAGGTTGTGTGAAGATGGCGCCTGCCCTCCTGTCATTCTATACTTTCTCAGAACACAAGCGGTCGGCATCAGTCGATTCCCATCTGCGGGTACGTTTGCGTCTGAAGGATTGGAGCTGTTGCAAAGTAGCGCGTCGACGCGCGTCATCGCAAAGTCGGAACGCTGCTTCAGTCGTCACATATTTGGCAACAACATGGGTTTGGACATACTACAAAACCACCGTGCACAATGCGATAATGGCGCACTGAAGTGGGATTGGCTAATATGAGATGATGAATGAATAGAAAGATCGACAACGAATACGAGAACGAGGACAGGGAACAAAAACACACTGACTCGCTATGAAATTGTCTGGATCAAACGGACCGTTGCAGCTGAAAATCTACCCGTACATGGCCGCATCGCCATTAAACTTGCTCAATTAGTAAGAGAATTATTATGTTAAAACAGTCCAAGGAGGGATAATAAGTAGCAAACAACAGCCTAACTCGTAAAAGAAGTGAGTAACATGGATAAGACGGCTTCAATTGGACTGCCGTACAGAGACAACAACTAATCTGCGCCTTCCCGAAAAATAGTGCTTGTCTACGCTGCATCGTCTGCTCGTTTAAGCGTTGTACTAGTTTGTTAGTATAGGTACATTTGCACAATGATATACCCATCTTTCGTTCTCCCTTTTGCTTTCCAAATGACTTCAAACGAACAAAATACATTCTCTATCCCGAAAATGGGGTGGAAGTGGCGGCGCGCTTCATTTGAACGCAGCGGTTCTTCTGGTAGGATATTTTCGTTTCAGGGCAGTTTTAATAATGCTTTCATCCAGCGAAAGACTGGATTAGTCTCAAATGGAAGTATCCCACGAGAAGCGCATCCCACGTTATGTCCGAATACAGTTTGCAGCCACGCCCCTCCATCTCCGAGTTCTGGAATGGGCCACGTGTTTTGATTTTTAGGACAAAAATTAAACTAAGGAAGGTAGTTTGAAGGAGGGGGAAGGCGTTCAGCGGCATGACTAACGCAAAAAAATGCTTTGTCATATACAATTTTTTCAAAGACCTGAGAATGGGTTCAAATGCCTTTTCCCCGTTCATTGTTGGGGCGCACACGTAAGCAGACATGAAGCGACAGAGTCGCGCCTCCGAGTGGCACCAGGGTGCTGCCTTTTCCTCCGGTTCGTTCTCCCTTTTGATAGGCGAGGAGGGCTACTACCCAGTCGCGGCAAAATGGGCGTTGGAAGCTGGTGTATTCGCAGCTTTGCACCAGGACACAAAACTACTCAAAACGGCAGTGGCGCTGAGCGTCGACGCTATCCACTAAGTCAACCCGTCCTGCGAGTCAACCCGGGTGGGAAGACAACGCTCCACCCCCTCTCCCAACCTCTTTCGGTACCCAGGTGGTCTTGATAAAACCAGTTATATATCTTTTTATATTAGCCATACGCTACCACTGGAGAAGCACTAACAGTGCACCTCAATGATCAACTAGGATTAGTCGCCTGTTGCTTAGTTTTTCCCACACAAGACCCTAGAAAGTAGGATTTAAAGTTCCATTACAAAAAGGCGGCCTATGGTTGAGGAAAACTCTGGGGCGACGAGGTCCGTTCCTCTGCGCCCTGGGATGAGACTAAGCACAAACTGGTTGTCCACCTTCCTCAAACGCTGGTTCTAAAGGGAAGGGATGAAGCGGGTTGAGTTGAGAGGGCCGACGCGAGGCCTCCCAACAACATCGGGGCCAAAAAGGCGTAACAATGGCAGAACCATTGAAAAAGCGTAAGCAGAGAAAAAGGCTATATATGGAAAGTTTAAGAAAGGTCACAGAAAAAATAGCCCAATCAAAACAAGCCCAGACGACGAGGCCCTCAGAACGGAGTGTAAATTATCTAGAAATTTCCATAAATCCATACTATTTCTGGGTTTGCAGAGGCTTTGTTGCATCTAAAAGCGACAGTCCACATTCGGCTCGTCGAATATGCAACATCAATGCGCCATAATATACCGTCATACAAGAACATTAAATAAGTTAATAAATGTTAATGAGTAATTAGGGCACAATGGATGTTATAAAACAAAAAAAAACATAGAAAGGCTCCTAAAACGTCTTCCATCCTTATGATATTACCCCATCGGAACTGTAGATCATATCTGAAAGCTATATTTAAAGCTCGAAAGAAAACATTAAAAGTTCACATTGTTAAAACAGCTAATGCGGATGAGCATGATTAACGTCGAGGTCTCATGAGCACACTTGTGAAACTGGCCTGAGGACATTGGGGACAGAGTCTTGGATCATGAAAGTTCTGATAAACAACTTGGCTAGAGCATTGGCTAGCTTTCTATCGACCGACAGAGCAACCCAACACAAGATGACGTTCGTGCACGGCCGGCATAACTGCAAGATGAATAAGATTTAATAGATGTAATGTAATGTAATGTAATGGATATGAAATCAAAGAAGGGCGCTTTTGAACTATGAGGCCGCGACTGCCTACTCAGGCGTTTAGCCGTGTAGCCGAAGGACAAAATTTGTGGTGTTGGAAATGGCAACGGACTACAGTCTATGAGTCAGAGGTAACAACTGTTGGGGGAAAGCACATGGGGAGGGTTCGTAGTTGGTCGCTGGAGGAGGAGGCAGAAAATATCTCGCGTCGTGGTGATGGAGACGGGAGTCGTTATGCAGCTTTGATGATTTAGAGACGGATTTAGAAACGTGATTTCTCACTGTTTAGTGCTACACTATGTATCTCCCCTCCTCACTGCGGCTAATGCCGTTTAGCGCCAGCAGTTTTCGGTACGCAGCTCACTTATCTTAATCTGCCCAAGTCAGCTCACACCAGCTAAAATACATGTACAGAAAGGGTTAATTTTAACACGTGATTACATTACGACACGACATTATTGGCGCTGGCGCCAAGGCGATGACGCTACGATTACCTCCTGGGCTCAGCCTTAGCAGAGCGCAGATAATCGTAGTGTCATCCATTAGCGCCAGCGGCAAGAGTGAATGTCATATTCGTAATCAGGATGTTAAACTACCCCTAATACAAGTTTTTAGCGGATTTGGTGACTTAGGCAATTTAAAAATGAGCTCGGTGCCGAAATTGCTGGAGTCCAAACGGCATTAGCCTTCACCTGCTCGCGAGCAAAATTTTTTGGGGAAAAGTAGGAAAATTTTCGGGAAATTCTGGAAAAAGTGGTTGGAAGTTGGGGTGAATCCAAGGAATTTTCCTGTTTCACATTGGCTATATACCCGCTTAAAGGCAGTTGGCACGATGGTTTCCTACTTAGCCTAAAATGCTAGTAGGGCGCTGTATAGTGGGGAAATGGCGAAAGAACGGAGTGAAACGGTCAAAATCCTGCGAAGAAAAAGCCTCCGTTCTCAGTGACTTGTAAATCGATTTCGGACGAGTTTCCCGTAGGCGCCTTGCGGGTGTATGTCGTTTGGCGCGATTTTTTTTGTCGTCTACGCGTCAGAACATGTCAGGCAAACCGACTTCCAGGTGCAACAACTCGCCATAACTTCCAAACTAGTGTATATCCCTAAGTGATCATTAAGAGAAAACTTATGTTAGAATAATGAGCACTATAACCAAAAGTGACGGCTTTTGATAGGCTACAAATTACGAAAACCTTATAGTTCAGTGATTCGGACAAGTTATCCGGTAGGCATGTACCTGTCAGAACACGTAAACGGCAATGAAATCGCGCCAAATGACCGCCTCCCGCGCCTTGCCAATCACCGCTACCGAAGATACGGCTGCATATGTGTACCCATATATGCATGCAGCATCACGGCCGCTTCATACCAATCCCTTCGCTTCATAATTTGCTTAGCAAATGAATGAATACGAGCGTCAGGAACGGTCGTCCATTTGTGGGCGGGCGGGCGTGGCGGGCGTTTGGGACGTAAAGTTGTGGCTTGATAGGGCCCTTATAAGGGCACCTTCCTTGGAGAAACCGCTATGCAGCGCCTGCTCAGGGTCGCGGAATTCCGTCCTGCCAGGAGTATTGATCCTAGTCGTCTTGGGGGATTTATCGTGCCAACTGCCTTTAATGAGTCACGAAACGTCAATACCGAGGTATTCTCTTAGACTACCTCCATAGTTTGCGTCACCGTTCTGAAGGTGCCGAGCGCAAG